AAGGCTTTGGGCTGTCTTCCACTGCTTTCCCAAGCTACCAGCAGGGAGCTGGATGGGAAGTAGAACAGTTGGGACATAAACCCGCACCCATATGGGATCCCAGTGAATGTAAGGTGAGGATCTAGCTACTAGGCCATTGCACCAGGCCTTCAATATATTTTTATTTTTTGTTTCTTTGACTTAAAAACTTCAAGTGACATGTCTTTTCTTCTGTTTGATCAAATCTGCTGTTGAAATCTTTTGGTGAACTTTTCAGCACACTCTATTCCTCATCCTGTCATTTCTATTTTATTCCTTCTTTTTATATTTCTCTCTTGTTGACAGTTTTGTTTTGCTTAGCATGACTTCCCCAAGCTTGGAAAGCATTTTTATGACAATTATTGTGAATCCCTCACCAATTAATCCACCTCTGTATCTTTAGGGCTGGCTTGTGGAGATGGCCCTGCTCTGTTTCTTCATGCATTTCTTTTGTTGGAACCCATGCACTTGAGCAGACTCCTCCCAGCCTTTAGGGACTGGCTTCACACCAGTGAAGATGCCTACCAGGAAGCCTAGCTAGACTGGGGGGGGAGGTCTCTGGAACCTCGGCGGGGATATGCTTTCTCTGGGCCCATGCTCATATCAATGAGTGAGTGTCGTCATGGCCTTCCAGAAGGCCACAGTGTTCATACCTTCATGCTCTCTGGCTACACAGCAGCCAGGTTAGCTGCTCGCTCTCCTCCTTATAGTCCCCAAAACAGACTGGCTTCCTGTTAGTTCTTCCACCCAGGGGACTTGAAATCAACAGACCTGGAGGCCATCTCCACTTGTTCTTCCTTCCAACTTGGCTTCCCTTCCACTCCCTCCTGATCGGGTCATGGGTCTGTGGGGCCCTGGGTCCTCCCAGGCTGCAACAAGCTGCCTTTTGCTGTCTGGACTCAGTGGCCAACAAGCACATATTGTACTGGTCCTCTCAGACAGAGCTCTGGAGTCAAATGAGACACAACCAGCCCTATGGGAAGCCCGCTAGAGGGCTGGAATGCTGGATGCATGCTCCAAGCTTCAGTGCCTGTGCAGGCAGGGAGATACTGCATTCTCTCCCTGCATTGAGGTGGGCTGACCTGGGTAGCAGTGCTTGGGGTAGAGTACAGCAGCTCCTCTGAGCCTTCGGACCCATTTTAAGGAAGCTGTTGTTGGTTGTGAATCTGCCTGGGCTCTGGAGTTCTCGCAAAGGCATTTTAATGTCTACGTTGTTGCTACTTGGGTGTCTGTGGTGCATGAGGGCCAATACTTCCCGCTCCACTCCCTTGCTCTGTGCCTGTCCTTTGTGCCTGTCTGCCCTCCTCAAGGACGCCTCCTGTGGCTGCAGGCCCACCCCTTTCTGCACTGGAATGCTTCTAGGCAAATACAAGGTGCTGAATAATTACTTAACGAATGAAGGGAGAACTCAGCCTGAACGTATTTAAAGCTTTCATGCTTCATAGAAGATAATAAATCTGTGTTAGCTTTCACTCCTATGGGAACCCTATCGAAATGCACTGATTTTGCAGGGCTCCAAGTACTCTCCCTCAGAGCCTATCCTAAAAATCTGATTTCCCATCTACATTGCAACGAAAAGAGAATGCTTTGTAAAACCCAGAACTGCAGAAGTTCTCTTGTTCAAGGCATACTCACACCTGCCTCCCTCTCCAAAGCCTTGTTGAGTACAAGGCCGGGGTGAAAGTACTACGCTAATGCACCCTGGTAGCCCTGGCATCCACTCAAAGCTCTGCAAACAGCAATAGAAAAGAACCACAAGAGTGCCAGAGCAAATGCCAAGTGGCCACAGTCGAAGGCAAATGTTTCCTGAACCCCCTGGGTTTGCCGAAGAACCAGAAATGCCAGCCATCGGGTATTTAATGCATTCTACCAGGTCATGCTTCTTTTGCTTCTTTTACGCTTTTTTCTTCCCATTCCTGACAGGAAAGTTGTTGATGACTGTTTTTGTTCTTTACCTTGAAAGGTGTTTGCAAGTTTGTGGTTGGCATTTCAGTTATATCAGTCAGTGAGAGAAATGGCAAAGTACTCAAATGCTTTCCAGAAACGTAAAAATCACTCTCACCAGCCCCTCTACCCATCTCTGCCATGCCAAAACTAGGCATCACAGCCTCCTGTGCTACGGCCACAGCCTCCCTCACAGCACGTTAAGAATTGACAGCCACAGAACATTGAGTCTGAGTGGAACCAAAAGCCCCAGGAAGTGCCACGTATAAGGAAAGGACAGACAACTGTACTTGGCAAACAAGAGTCCTGGGATCCGGGTTTCAAACTGTGCAAAACTCACAGGACAGAATAGAACAAATACAGAATGTGGCGAAATACATTTGCAAAGATTAAAAGCTTTTCTGAGTGTCAAAAAACCTTGAAGCCACAAGCACAGGACTAGGAGTCCAAGAAAATGTGGGCCTTTAGGGAGAGGGAAGTGATCTAGGGCCTCACAGGCTCCAGCACACACTGGCACTCAGTAAATGGCAGCTGTTAGCAGGAGCTGGGGACTGGCTCACCTAGCAGGTGCACACACACTTTCCCCTGGGCTCCCACGACCCTGGTATAGGATGTCCCCTGCCACATGCCACACGTGTCGGGCATCAGCTGTGCCTTCTTACAAAGCTGATGCTGAAATTTCATATGTGATCTCGTCTTTGGAGGTGGGGTGTCTGGGAAGTAACTGGGTCCTGTGAGCAGAGTCCCCTGCCTGGGGTCAACCCCCATCCAAGAAGAGGCCAGAGGCTGCGACTAAGAACTTCCATTAGCCACTTGGTCCATGACCCTCGGTTACAGCCATCTGACAATGCCAATGTCATCTGTGCCTGTTCCTGCTCCCACACACACAGCTTTCTCAGAAAGGCTGGGATCACCACATGCGCTTCCCTGGAACTGGAAATGGTAGGCATTTAACTGTAGTTAGGTCACAGAATAAGTGAACTGTATTATAGGACTTCTTATCAGAATCCCTTTGCTCTGGATGAGGCCAGTTGGTCACCAGCAAAGGTCAAGAGCCAGCCTGCAAGGTTCCTTCTGCAGGTCTGCCGCACTTCACATGCCCTCTTCTGCCCAAGGTTGTACCTCGCCCTTTCTCCCTCTGCCAACAGGAAACTGCTTGCTCCGGGTAAACACCTCAAGACGACACAACGTAGAATGGCGGAGAAACTGGGCTTTTTTTTTTTTTTGCTTTGCTTTTCGTTCCTACTTGGAAATAATGTTAAACCAACAACTACAGTTTTGCACCAGTGGCTCCTTCTGCTAACATCTTACAAAACCACGACAAAATCACCCGACCGAGGAAGAAACCAATGCTGAGCCAAAAAACTTGCAGTCTCTACCCGAATGTTCAAGTTTTCCTACTAACACCCTTTCTCTCTGGTCCAGGATCTCACAGTACAGTTAACTGTTATTCCCTGCTCTCTTCTCCGTTGTGATGATTCTTCGTTATTTATTTATTTATTTGGTCTTTCATGAAAATGGAATTTAAGAAGAGTGTGAGCGAGTATCTCTCCATTTGGGTTTAACGGTCAGTACTAACTCCTGGCTCTGTAACTCATTTCCGTGCAGCCTCGGGCAAGTCCGCCTCTCTATGACTCACAATGCCCCATCTGTGAAATGGGATGGGAACACTGAATTTGGCAGGCTATTTTGAATATTGGAGGCAATATGTATCAACATACCTGGGATATAAGATCATACAACATGTGTTTATTAAGTCTTGTTGTCCTACCCTCCAAGTATTTCTGATAGAACTTCTTGCTGACATGCCTTTCTTCGTTTTAATCCCTTCTTTTATAGACAGAACCGCCAATGACTTAGCCTCTGGTTTGGCTCACTGCACTGCCATGAACAGCCGTTGCTGGGCTGGGGGACAGTTCTGGGTCCGAATCTGTTCTCCCTTAGGCTGTTGTGCGTAGTGCCAGCACACCTGCCCAACAGTGCTTACCACTTCCTCTCCTGAGCTTGTCAGGTGTAGGCATTAATTTATCCAGGCGCACCTTCCCTTAACAATGTACTGAATCTACTGAGAGCTGGGCCCTGAGTTAGGGTCAGGTACATCAACCTGTGGTTGGCAGGGAAAATGAACAGTTAACTAACTCCTAGGAATCACTGCTCTGCGTGACATCCTGGCCAGGACCCTGTAAGAGGCACAGTCCACCTGGGCTGGAGAAAGCATTTGTGAAGCAGGTGTCATCATGCTTCAGTCAAGCTCTGCACTTTGTGCGGGAGTTAACCAGAGGGAGCGGGAGAGACAGCCAAAGGCACGCACTTTACAGAGCTAAGAGAGCCGTGCCAAGCAAGTCAGTCAGCTCCGAGAAGCAAATCTCCTGGCTTGGAAATGCTCAGCTTGACAAGTGATTTTGTGCCAATACCTCAGGGGCTCAGGAACTTCCCCAGAAAACTTCTGGCCCCAGGGTAGTGTTTTGGAACCTGTAGCTGACACAGCTAAACCTCTGCCTGTTACATACACTCAGCTTTCATCTCTCACCATCTGCCAGCCCAGGTCAAAGGCAAGGCGGCGACGGGCTGCTTACTGACACTTCAGAAGCACAAACTGCTCTGCTGTTTCCTGGTAGAAGGGCTTTTGGCTGCATCTTTACAATGTCAATGGCCACTGAGAGGTTCTTTCCTCAACTGAGCCTTTCGGCTTAGCAGGCGAGACCTTCTGAAGCTTCCCCAGCTTTCTTCCATCCTCCAGCGCCCACTGCCTTCTCGCTGAAGCCAAGTCCAGTCTAACCATGTTAAAGTGTGACATTTCAGCATCCCAGTGTCCTGTCCCTTGCGGAGTGGGACTTCAGTGAGTCCAACACAACACTGCCATGTGTTCAAGAGGTTTCCCCGCCAGCTCCTATATTACCCTCCCAATCATATTCACCTACTCTCACCTCCCCACTTCTTGTTGAGAGAGCAAATAAAGCAAATTCCTTTTGTTTTCTCCCAAGAGAACAGTTCCCAAGCCTTAATGGCTCTTAACCTCAGGCAGGAATATTACATACCGTCAGCTGGTGTATCAGGAGGTCCATTAAGAAGGTAATCTTGTTACTAAACAGAACATCCTTGCAGTTCTCCGAGCAGTTACTGCAGGCCAGGTTGTAAACATTGATTGCATTGCAGAGGGATCTAATAGGAGAGAAGCACCATCTGTAAGACCAGAGCTGTTCTTCTCCAACCAATTTCAGATGCATAAACCAAAGGGCACACAGGCAGCAGGAACAGCATGGAAGTTCCTTTGAGAAGCCAAGCCAAACACTATGAGGGGCAAGACCCATTGTCAGCTAACTAGAAACACTTGCAACTTCCAGCCAAAACCCAGTGGTCATTAGGACTCAATACTTACCTCTCATTTGTTTCCACTCCTTACAGCTGCACAGGATGGAAAGAAATTTACCTGTCTACCCAATTTTTGAAAACACCCTCAAGGCTCCTGGATGGGCGGGGGAGAAGACCCTAAGCAGAACCTGAGACCTCCAGGTCCAGCATTAAGGGCCAGTGATGGAGGAAAGCAGCCAGGTGGCGAGCTGAGCCTTCTCTCTCTGGGACAGGAGCCCTGTGGCCCTGGGGTGGGAGCACCCCTGCTTGGAGGGGACAGGCTGTGTGGGCCCACACAGTCTAAGAGCAGACTGATAAAACACTTGCTTTTCCTCTATAGGATTGAAACAAATGCCATGCCAGGGCTGAATATACTTCTGGAGCAACCAGCCCATGGCCCGGCTCTCTCCCAGGTGTTTGTACTGCCTGCCTGAGCCTCCTGCTTCAGGCCCACGGGCAGATTCTGATTTGGTTCCTGTAACCAGCCTCCTATGAGATAAAGTGGGACCCCAGGAGCAGCAGCACCCACCCGGCCTGGGGTGAGAGATGTACGTTCCTCAAGCTCTGCCCCGACTAGGTCATGGAGACTGAGACTGTGGTCAGGTCACAGAAGCAGGTGCACTGCTGAGTGTCTGGACCACCACTCCAGGATCCAGGTTCTGTGTCCGGGTTCAGCACTGCACATCCTTGGAGCTCTTTAACACTTCCCTGCCCAAGTCTCTTCCCATGAGAGGCTGGCTGTGGCCTGGGACATCTTCTGACAGCTGAGCGCCACCACAGTTGACAACCACAGGTCTAAGTGCCACTATGCCAACATGCAGTCACTCAACCAACAGCCAAGTTCCTATGACGTGATGGGCACTTGTGCTCAGGGCTAGAACAGATGAGTTGCCTCTCCTGGTGGGACGCACGCTGCTCTGACCAGGAGAGCCCTGCCTGTCTGGGATGGCTGCACTTGGCTGCTTCCCATTGGGAGGCTTTCAGAAGGTGGGGGGCACGGAACAGGTCTCGGTTAAGGTTAGAGGCACCAGCATCAGAGTTCCAGCCCAGTCACGATTTTAGCAAGTTACTGACATGCCCTTTGGTCCCCATAAAGCCAGGATAAGAATACCTAAGTTTCACATGGCTGTTGTGAGAATTAAGTGAGATAATAGGCGCAGAGCACCGAGGACAGTGTCTGCCACAAGGGACAGTCATTTAACCAATGGGAGCCCTTCCCAGGGCCGGTGACCTCATTAGGGTCGCCGATCTTGAGATGAATGAGTCAAACTCAAGCCGGCTAGAGAAGGCTATTTCCAGGGTAACAAAGCACAGTGCCTCTCTAAAGTTTACACGGGTTCCTGGCACAAAAGGCGTAGGGGTTCACAGGGCTGATAGGTGCTGGTTGGAGATAGCTGGTCCTTGGCTGTACCCTGCCTTTCCAAGGAATGGACAGGAAAACCCTGGTCTCCCAGGAACCTAATCAGAACCCATTTCTTGGTGGGAGGCACTGCCCAGCAAACCTCTCTCTAACGTCAATCAGCACCATTTCTGTTATTTGACAATATGTCTAAAAAGTGTTTCTTTAATTTAAAAAATTGCATGAATTATTATTACAAAAATTTTTTTTAAGCAGTCTCTAGGACAGTTAAGGCTCTCTGCAAACGAAAACCTGGCTCCAGGGCTTCAGTCCTGGGAGGGATAAACTACAGTCTCTCTGGCTGGGGCTGGGCCTGGGGCTGGGGCTAGGCTCTGCCAGGACTCTCCCCTGTTCCCCTCTCAGGGACCAGGCACCCTGAAGCCTTCCTTAATGCCTGTGGAATACAGCTGAAAGGACCCCGTCAAGCTAGAACTCAGTTCCCCTTGGTCAGCTACTGAACGGGTGATGGCGACCCCAGGAGGCAACCCACAAAGCAAGGGGGGTCTGAGGAGCAGTGTCTCCTGGTCACCGTGCCCCCACCTCCTCAGTGGGAGCGGACATCTGCACATTCCCCCAGAGGCGGGGCACTGGCTGCCAGGCTTCTGAGCCCTCTACACAAGCACCCCGTGGACGCAGAAACTGCAGTCCACGCAGGACATGGGCCTGCAGCTCTTGGTGGCGGAAGAGGCTGGCGGAAGAGGCTGGCAGGTGAGTTTCAGAAAAGGGAGACTCTTCTTGGAGGTCACGACCTGGCAACAGAAGCTGCGCTTTTTGACTCAAGTGCTTGGGCAGTTGCAGGCGCCCATTCCCACGGCATACTGGGTGTGTAGAGGGGTGTGTGTGTGTGTGTGTGTGTGTGTGTGTGTGTGTGTGTGTGTTACATATGTGTATGTGTGCATGCACGCATAGACATGCTGCACCCACCCAGCTCCTGTCTCGTGGACGAGTCCAGGAGGGGGCAACAGCGCTCCCAGCGACCGTGTCTGATATTGCTTTTGGAGCCAACACAGAATCCAGTCACTTTTTCTTTTTTTAAAGAACCCAAAATCTTAAGTTTAAGTTCCTCTACTGATTAAAATACTTAAACTGAGAAACACGGCATGAGTCTTAAAGGCTGAATACTTTCTAATCCTAAGGCTATAAAAAAGTAGTTCAGTCACAAGCTTTCTATGTTGTGTCCCATTTTCAAGGTTGCAAAGCAAGCAGTTTGCACAGTGTTGTTACAAGCCACAGGAAAACAAACTCCAGTCAGCTCAGTTAAGTAGAAAGAAAATGAGGCAACAGCCTAGCCAGAGGCTGGGAAACCCAAGGGCAGACGATCCTTGTCTAGGTCCAACACTGAGCTGCTACATGATGGAATACACTTGGTGAAAAGCATCTGCGGACAAAGTACAGTGGCCTGGACCTCAGCAGGTGTGGCTAACTCACAAGAAGCCGGGCTCTGGGACATGGGTGCTTTTTCAACAGCTTCAGAGTCACACTGGACTGGGAAACCTATGCCACATGCCCACGGGCTGGACCTGGCTGGACCAGAGGCAGGCGAAGGTGTGGCCCTGCACTGTGGGAGAGCCGGAGAGCCGCCTTCTGGCTTTAGGAATTCCGCACGGCCACCCGTGGAGCTGCTGCTGAGCAGACTAACCTGGGCGCCCGGCTGCCTGCTTCCTCTGGGGAACTTTCCAGGAAGCATGGGCGGGTCAAAGGGAATGAAGCCCTGAAGCTTTTGACAAGACACTGCTAAATTCAGGCTGCCTTCCAGGGAGAAAGCATTTTGTGGCAAGCGGTTTAGATTTCCAGAGAAAGATTTAGACTTCCAGAGAAAGATTTTTTTCACGCTTTTACCAACATTGGATAATCTCCTTAAAACAAATTTCTATCCGTTTGACAGCTAAATAAGAATGGTATTTGAAAGGCTTCTTTTATTATTAGGGTGATTAAAGATCTTTTTCTGTGCTTATTTGCCATGTCTGTTTATGTTAAGTATTTTTCTTCGATTTGAGAGGTCCAGGGAAGGAGCAGAGCTAGAGGGAACACACTTCCATCTGCTGGTTTACTCCCAACAGCGGTCAGGATCAAGCTCAGAGCCAAGAGGTCCAGCAGTATCCCGGACAGGGAAGGCAGGTACCCACCGCGGCAGTGGAGCCAGCACTGGAGCTGGGGACTGGGAGCTGCAGCCAGGTCCGCAACTCAGACATCGAATGCGGATGCGGGCATCTTAACAGCCAGGCCAAATGCTTGCTCTGACAGATACTGGAATTTCCACTTCATCTTTTACCTACTTGTCTACGGGGTATCTGGGCTTTCCTTAAGTGACATCTAAAGCTGTTTACTAACCATATAGATGTGAGGCCTTTGGTAATTTGCTGCCAATGATTGTTCCAGTTCATTGCTGTCGAGATTTTTAAAAATTGCCACAAAGAATATTGATTTCATATATTTGAGAGAGAGTGAAAAAAGACACAGCAAAGCAGACAATGACTAGCAGAGAACGTGGTGGGGGTGGGAAGCAGAGCCAGGAAGACGAGAGAGGGAGAGGAATGGATCCCATCTGTAGTTCACTAAATGCTTGCAGCAGCCAGCTCTGGATCAAGCCCATGTTAGAAACTTGGGAATCCAATACAGGTCCCTGAGACAGGTGGCAGGAACCCAATGACCCGAGCTGTCCCCCCTGCCTCCCGTGGTCTGCATTAGCAAGAGCTGGGGCCTGGCATTGGCTCAGGCCCTCGGGTGTAGGCATGGCTGTCCTGACCAGTGTCCTGACTGCTGGGTCAGAAGCCTATTGCACATATTATTTCTATGTAATGAAAGTTGCCAAATTTTTCTTTCATGACATCCAGGTCTTCTGTCAGACTTAGTGGGCCTTTCCACTCCAAGACTGTAAAAGCATTCTTTTAAATTTACTTCTGGTATTTTATGAACTTAGCATTGAAGCCACAATATAAACTTGATTTTTGGAATAAGGTCTAAGGTAGAGATTTGCTTTATGTTTTTCCAAAATAAGTTCCTTATGGTTATCGTTCACATTGTTCTCTATTTCTAACTGATTTGTAAAGATTCTCTAACAAGACATATTGCTAGTATTGTCTCCAGTCTCATTTCTGTTTTTTCATTCTTCTGCTAGTTATTCTTACCTATTTTTCTTTGTCTGAAAGGCAAAGAGACAAGCCAGAGAAAGTTCTTCTGTGCATTGTTTCATTCCCAACTGGCCCTCCCCCTGGGCAGCAAGGAGTGACTCCCAGCCAATGCCTATGGCCCCCAGGACGCCCAGCTTATAACATCGTTGACATAAATGATTTTATGTAACCTAACAAAATTTTTGGTTTTTTTTTCCCTGCCATTGATATTTAAAAGTTCTTTTTCTACTATGGGATGAAGTCATTGTTCATTTGTACTTTTGGTTAAGTTATATATTTTT